AATAGAGGGCACACAAATCGATTATTCACTTTTCCCTCATTCTCACACTTGAAAACTTTATCAATTTCAATAAAGTTAACATTTAGAAAGCCATAAATTTAGAAATCCATCTTTTTAGAATTGGATTTATGTTTTCTAAACATAGATAAGTGGATTTAAAATAGGTTCGCACAAATTTAAAAGGTTTTTTGTCCTTTATACCAGTGAGAGTGTAATAATAACCAAATCGGCTTGAAGAACTAACAAAATCTGAAATTATACTACTTTTTAGTTTAGATAAATAGAATAATGAGATGTTTATAAAGCTTTGCCACGTGTGAAAGTGCCACATGAAGGACTAAATGAAAACATTCAACAGTACTGAAATTTTAAAAGAGAATCTCTTTAGATTTTATTAGGTACATGCAGAAGAAATGCGGATTTCAACTTTTTCATAAATTTCCAACGATAGAAATCTGATATCGATCTGACATCTAATTTATAGTTATAAACTATTTGAAAGTTGTAAATCTCCTCTACAAAATAGGCTAAAACGTGTTTCAATTGATCGAACCATTGAAGAAATTTCGAGCGATTGAAGAGGGCGAAATGCGAGTGGCCAAAAAAGGAATCGAGTCACTTTAGGGACAAGTTTAGTGTCGTCAAAATAGAGCTAGCTTCCCAAAATGGAAGATTTAAAAAAAAAGGATAACTATATAGCAATTCATTAAAAAAGTCTAATGGAAATGCATTTACAGAAAAATTTACAGAAATTTAGATAGAGTAAAGTTCAAAACCCTTAAAATTGTCAAAAAACCGGCTTTTTCACAAGAAAGAAAAATTATTGTAAAAACAAAGTTTTCCCATGAAATGATCCCAACTCTTAATTATTTTGAATGATATTTTTAGGATAATGATTTTAGGGCGGTCATTCTCCCCTATATAGTCAAAACCGAACTCTTGTGAAAGTGGGGTTTTCAAAAAGTGCGCTGTTTTGGTCGCTCGCATTTCGCCCTCGAAATTTCTTCAATGGTTCGATCAATTGAAACACGCTTTAGCCTATTTTGTAGAGGAGATTTACAACTTTCAAATAGTTTATAACATTCATCGATATCAGGTTTCTATCATTGGAAATTTATGAAAATGTTGAAATCCGCATTTCTGATACATGTACCTAATAGATTATTAAACTTATAGAAATTAAAAGAATTAATAAAATTTACAGAATTTATAGAGTAAAGAAGTGTAATTTTTGAACGAAAATGAATTTTGAATCAATTGAGGATTTGAATGCAGCCCTGTGAGAGTGGTTATAGTGGAGTATAGTGGATCAGATGCGCCTTTCCGCCCATTGGTTAGTGGGGAAATTTTCCCCTTTCCAAATAACAAAATTCGTTCAAAAATTCACGACAATATTTTCGCAGCTGATCGCCCACATCATAGAGCTGAAATGGAATGAAATGGAATGAAATGTTGATGTGGGGAAAGAGAAAAGAAAACAAAAATCCCTGACTAATCTCGTATCTTGTGCACCCTTTATGATCAGAATCGTGATAGCTGAATGATTATTAAAATATGTTTTTGACTAATCGTGGAAATAGAAATCGGTATAGATTTGATTATAGATATCGGTATAGATAAATCTGATATGAATATTTCTGATTGACTCAAAATCTGTGAAACTTTCAATAAAGCATTACCAACTTGGTTCATGGATGAACCAAGTTGGTAATGCTGTTGTAATGAACAGCAAGTTGTGTAAGTTCAATTTTAATGAACCAAGTTGTTGTAACTGTTCCTTATTTTGTACTATTACTCAAAAAGAACAAATTCTATTATCCTAATCAATAGTAAAATTAAAATAGTATGCAAAAAAATGATAGTTCAATCTTTTTGAAGAGAAAAATCAAAGCTCTGCGACAAAAATGAAGGCCAAAAAACGATTAATGACCAAAAAATTGCCCCTTTTCCCAGCCAAATCGATTTCTCGTGTTGGATTTGAATCTTAATTGGATTGAATTGAAAAGAATTGCTTCAACAAAAAGAAAAAAGTTAAACGAACGAGATTTGAGTCTTTAAAAATCATTTCATAATAGATAATTGTAGGTAAACGAACAACCATTGGCAACTAGCCATGAAGGAAAATCTTCGACAATGCCTCAAATTCGGCTCCTATTTTGCCATTGGCATCAGTCATTGACATTCGTTAAGGTGTCAAGTCAAGTGAATTTGTCTGCGAAAACAAACAAATCTAGACTCAAAGATGAGAAATTCTATAAACAAGGATGATTTTGTTCGTTTAGTTCGGTGTGAGACTGGCTTTAACCTTATCAAAAGGGATGATTTTGTTTCTGAATAACCGAGTAGCACAAAAGCCAAGTAGCCGAGTAGTCGAGTAGCACAAAAGGTTAAACGAGTTTCCCCAAAACGCTCACAATGCATTGCTTAATCAATGAGCCACAACAAACAATATACTTGACCGAAATGGTCCATATTCTTGACCGAAATATGGTGCTCAACTCAACTCGATCGGAATTTCCGGTTGAGTTGAGTTGAGTCTAGAGCAGTCCAAAACAAGAAGATCAACTTCAAGATACAAATGTTGAGTCTTGTTTAAATTGAAGTAGCCAAGGTACAGCAAGCTTGGATTATAATAAGCTAGATAATAATAATAATAATAATAATAAACTTTATAGTTCCTTTATAGTTCCTTTATGGTTCCTTTAAAGCTCTTTTATAGCTCCTTTATAATTCCTTTATAGTTCCTTTATAATTCCTTTATAGTTCCTTTGTGGTTCCTTTATAGTTCCTTTATACAGTTCCTTTTATACGATCATCTTTTCGCTCGATCCTCCTCTTGATGATCCCACGCATCTTTCGGGTGTTAACGGTCCTCTTTCGTCCTCTTTCGGGCTTGGACTGAACATACCCCTCATCTTTCCATTGCTTTACGATCTTCTGGACGGTCCTCAGAGCCACCCCAAGCCTCGATGCGATCGACGAGTTCTTCATGCCGCTTGTCGCCAGCTGTGCGATTGCGTCCCGACTAGCGCACGTCTTTGTCATGACCTAGAAAACAACTTTTTTAACAAAAAATTAATAGACAACGATAAAAAGAATATTAAAACATAAAAAGATGAGTAGTAATGCTTTATACATTGTTTAAAGCTATGATGCTGATGCTGCGCGCACGTAATTTTCAGCCACCCTGTAGTTCCTATTTAGTTCCTTTATAGTTCCTATTTAGTTCCTTTATAGTTCCTTTATAATTCCTTGAACCAAAAAAACGGTACGGTAATTATAAGTTTCGGAATTCATCTAAAAGTTTAGACAATCAAAAACCGAGTTCTAATTGATAGTTGCAATCGATCAAATGCATAGTTCTAGTACAATCTAGAACCGTTGATAAGGAAGATTGGAAGGTCAAATTCCTTATTTTGGTTGTTCTTTGCTGTTTTGTTGCATTAAAACTTCAATTCAGCTCTTTTTCCGCATTTTTTGACTCTTTGTAACCCATCCAACAGATCTTTTATGTAGCAGATCTTTTAAATTTCACAAAATGTTTTCCTTTCAATAATGAAATCTGTTTCCCTTAAAGATAACAACAACAAAAACCCTTTGCATAAGCTCACCTCCAGCATAAGGTTTACGCTCGTGTTACGAGTATACAATGGATTGACGCTTCGTCGATGACAACACAAATGTTAGTAAATTCTTTCTATAATGTTAGACTATCTAAAATCTAACTACCATCTATCCTAATCTAACCAGCTACTGTAAATACTGTAATAGTACCCCACCGCACACCCGCGCGAAATAAGGCGAAAAATCGTTTTCTATCCGTTTTCCATGTTTGAATAGCCATTCAACGCAGAAACATGTGCTGATTTCAATGGTGAAAAAATTATCAAAATCCGTCCGATACATTTTGTAAAAATCGCGTTTTATCGAAAAAATCGCACTTTTACAAGCAACGCTCGCAGCGACCAACTTTCGGTGGCTCGTTTTCAGCGTGGTCGAAAGGTTGCGCCCTCAAAACCGATAACTTTTGTGTGGACGTTTATAAAGATCATTTTGATACCAAAAAAATAAAAATTGATCAACTCTGCGAAGACTTGATGCCTTTTTAAGTTGAAAATGACGTTTTTGAAAAAATAGCTGAAATTCAGGGCTATTTTTTGATACCTAAGCGCGCATTGTAACATAAACCAGTGTCGAGAAAAACTCGTTCAAAGCTAGACTACGCAACACTCCGCACCGTCATTATGGGGGTGGGGTACTATTACAGTATTTACGGTATCTAAAAGCAGGATTTAAAACCTTAAGAGTAGCGTAAAGTAAGTTGGATTTATAATTTCACGATTGATTAGTAGAGAAACAAAAATGCAACGATAGCCATTACAAAAAAAAAGCATGCGCATGAATAGAAACAAACATGAACAACAAACAAAGAAACATGATCAAAAAGCATGAATAGAAACATCAAATCCCGAAAGAACAAAAGCAGTTTTGGTTTTTTTTTTCTTTCGGGATTTGATGTTTGTATTCATGCGCATGCCCAAACCAAAAAGTGCCAGTAGCAACACAAAAAATTCTGTCGAAAAACCGAAAAACCAATTTGGGGAAAAGAATGAGACGAAAATGCGACGCAAATTAAATGCAAATAGGAACGCAAATAGGAAGGGAACGGACGCGACCATTTTTGTTTAGCATTTGTTTATTGATAAATTTGCTATGTGTAGTAGTGAGCTTGTTACATTTTAAGTGAACTTTGAAGGGCGTTTTATTTGAAATTATCATTATTGATTTGATTTGATCAAATAGATCTAATAGAATGAATCAAATAGATCAATAAACGCTGCTGGAAAGCGTTTTTCTGAGCTGTAATCAACCCAACTCAAGGTGATCCTAGAGTCTCTAGAGAACCGTTTTACATCGTAGTTTACTGTACAGTTGAATCTCTTTATAACAAATTTCTGCATAACAATCTACGTATCACAAATATCGTAGACAATGACTTAAAGATGATTCTGTTCATTTTTATATAATGAGTGCTCATTGGTGCCGTCAATATTGAGAATCATGTCATGATAGGCTCTCAATGTAAGTTGATGTCCTGTGGAGATGTAGGAGATTTTTGCCTAAATACGGGATTGATTTATTGGTTGTAAAACTGAATTCCCTGAGCTTTCGCGGGGTTTTTTTTAAAATTTAAAGGGTTTAAAGACTTATGAATCAAAACTACACCTAAAAATATTCGGTTTGGAGTTTTAAGAAGTGGAATAATTGAGATTATTGGAAATACAAAGCTTCTTGGTGGCTTTGTGACAAAAACAAAGCACAGATTTTTGAAGAATGAGAGATTCTTCAAGAATTGACTAGCAGAATGAATTGACAGAATTGACTGCAGAATTGACTTCTTTCAAAAACAGAACCTATTAGGCTATCCAGAAAATCTTTTCGTTTCTTTTTGGACTTCTGTTTTAACCCAACAAATCCAATCCATTAAACTACGGTTTATTTCATTAGAAAGGTCAATTATTTTTTTGCAAAATCATATTAAAACGGGTTTAAAAAGTCAAATTCAAACTCTTCCTCACATATTTCTGTTTCTAGACAAAAATCGAAAAGATTTTAAGATGAATTAGGTGGATCCAGGAGCGCATTGACTTCTTTTTCGCAAATTTGGGGACTATTATTAGAGTCATCACTAGTTTCACTAGTTCACTAGTTTTTCGTTGGCCCTGGGGGGCTATTATTGGAGAAGAGCCACTATTACAGCTATTATTGGAGAAGAGCTACTATTACAGCTTTTACGGTCATTGGTGTATTTGTTATTTTTCACCCGAAGTATCAAATGAAATGAAAAGACTTTCTGGACAGTCTAATACATTTTTTTCGACATTTTATAATGTCTTCAACGTTATAATCTCTTTAACGTTATAATGTCAATAAACCTTTAACATTTCTCTTACCTCTTTCAACAATTCATAAACCGTTTTTTCCATTGCCACCGGTAAACTATTGGTGGCCTCATCGAGGAAAACCAGTGATGGTTGTGAGATGAGAACTCGGCAGATCGATAATCGTTGAGCCTCGCCGGGTGTTAGCCGCTCGGACCTAGTTATTTAGATATTTTTAAGTTCGTCGCACAAACAGTGCATTACTTGCGACTATTATTTGTGCAATATATATGTCGTAGCCGATTATGAATGAAATTTTTTGGCAAATCTTTCTAGTAGAGCAACCCTTTAATGTAGAGGACAATATTATATCATTTTGTAGCGAATTCAATTCTGCGTCGATTGTTACAAAATTTGTGAGTTTAGGTTAAAAATTGCACAACGTTTCATTCAAAATCGGCGGGATCCCCGTAGCCGATTATGAATGAGTGGGAGCCTCCAACCATCCAGGAGAGCCTCCAATCATCTAGGAGCGTCCAACCATCAAGTATTTAGTATCATTCAACGCAGAATCATTGATAATTATGTTAAATTTTTTAAATTAGTAAGATTTGATAGAAAGAAAAAAAAATTAGAGCAAAAAAACTGTTTGTTCAAGAGAAAACTTTGAAGCCCCATAATTTTTTTTTCCTTTTAACCAATCTTTCTAATTTAAAAAATTTAACATAATTATTAATGATTCTGCGTTGAATGATACCAAATACTTGATGCTTGGACGCTCCTAGACCCACTCATTCATAATCGGCTACGACATATATTTCGTTCACTCGAGAAGTTCTATTTTTTAAGTTCTAGCTTTACAAGGGATGGTCATCAGAGCAGACAAGGGATGACCAACAGACCCAGCTCACCAAACGAAATGAGCCACACAACATCCGACGCAGAATTTTACGCTGATTCCAAATCTCTAATTCATTCTCGCGAAATGATTCTGAATCGCGCGCAATTTGGTAAACAAGTTTTTGGCCTCTCTTTTGGCTTCGCTTTATAAAGCTTACGCCCGAAGGTAAACATGGCTGTCTGTTGTAGTGGATAGTGGATTAGGATACGGAGTAGCTACTCGAAGGTTCGGATCCGCTCACTTTCTTTTTGTAAACACTTTTTATCTACATTTATCTACATTCAACTACATGAATTCATGAATTTCTAATGAATTCATTCTCGGGGCGAATTAGATAGATAAAAGTGAGTGATACTAGATAAGATTCACTGAACTTTTTGAGCTAATGTGTTCATGCTAAATGTCTTGCTTGGGTAAAGTGTCTATGTCTAAAGTGTCTATGTCTAAAGCGCCTATGTCTAAAGTGTCTATGTCTAAAGTGTCTATGTCTAAAGTGTCTATGTCTAAAGTGCCTATGTTTTAAGTAGAGTAATGATTTGAAAGCCTACCATTCAAATTCCACCTCTCCATCAAAACCACCAGCCATTGAGATCAAATGCGACAAGGAAAGTGACGCGAGAACTGCTTGCAATTTGGAATCTTCGACGATTGAGGCAACTCTGTAAATACTTGAAGTTCTATTACAGAAAATCTAGATAATTTATTGGGTACATGCATAAGAAATGCGGATTTCAACATTTTCATAAATTTCCAACGATAGAAACCTGATATCGATGAATGTTATAAACTATTTGAAAGTTGTAAATCTCCTCTACAAAATAGGCTAAAACGTGTTTCAATTGATCAAACCATTGAAGAAATTTCGAGGGCGAAATGTGAGTGATCAAAACAGCGCACTTTTTGAAAACCTCACTTTCACAAGAGTTCGGTTTTGACTATGTAGTGGAAAATGACAGCCCTAAAATCATTATCCTAAAAATATCATTCAAAATAATTTAGAGTTGGGATCATTTCATGGGAAAACTTTGTTTTTACAATAATTTTTCTTTTTTTGTGAAAAAGCCGGTTTTTTGATGATTTTGAGGGTTTTGAACTTACGCTCTTTCTAAATTTCTGTAAAGGCATTTCCATTAGACTTTTTTAATGAATTGATATATAGTTATCCTTTTCTTTAAATCTTCAATTTTGGGAAGCTAACTCTACTTTGACCAGACTAAACTTGTCCCTAAAGTGACTCGATTCCTTTTTTGGTCACTCGCATTTCGCCCTCAAAATTTCTTCAATGTTTCGATCAATTGAAACACGTTTTAGCCTATTTTGTAGAGGAGATTTACAACTTTCCAATAGTTTATAACATTCATCGATATCAGGTTTCTATCGTTGGAAATTTATGAAAATGTTGAAATCCGCATTTCTGCTGCATGTATTGGGTTGGTGAATTGAAAACTGCGGGCTATTGTCATATGTGACAGTTTGAGCACTTTCTTCAAAAGAAACCCATTTTGGTGTCAATGGAAAAGTTGTAGAGAATCAAAAATTAAGCTTAGATCCAAATTTTCTGAACGATTCAAAAACTGGTTTTCAAGAAATGCCAAATTTACGAATTTTCACAAAACTTGCAACAAAACTTGCATTTTAAGCGAAACTACTAAGTGTATCTTTTTGGAAATTTGGCTATAAGCCTGATTTTTGATCCTCTACAACTTTTCTATTGACACCAAAATGGGTTTCTTTTGAAGAAAGTGCTCAAACTGGGCTGACGGCTGACATCTCCGGTCCTCCATTTTTGAGTCTCACACTTGTCTCACACACAAACCAAAATCCTACTACGAAAGAGGAATCCGCAAATTGCCTGTAAAATGGGCAGAAGTCGTCAATAATAATGAAAATTATTTGGAATGAATTGATGGTTTTATGTTGAATAAATTTTAGTTCAAAGTCCGGCAGTTTTCAATTCACGAACCCAATACCGAATAGATTGAATTTATTTAGATTTAAGATTTATATTTAGTATTTAGCTAATAATAATTTAGAATTTGAATAAAAAATACGGCAATTTTTGAAATGCTTACCGTTTATCGCCAAGATTCGGGAACAGTAACTGCTGTCGAAGTGAGACATTTCCACTCGGCAAATAAGGTCTTTGTGGTAAAAACATTATATAACCATTTCTTTCCGGGAGTTGAATCTTTCCTGAATTGAGAAATTAAATTCAGCTTTGATTCTGTATTCAAAGTACCTGAATTTTTATGCCAAAGTTTAGCCAAAACTCTGAATAAAGACGATTTTCCAATCCCACTTGGTCCAGTGATCAGTAAAGAGGTTCTTGGTTCGAGCGCAAGGCTTAAATCTATAAAACTTATTCAATAGATCAATAGATTCAATAATTCAATAGATCTAATCTATTCACCTTTCACTAGCAATTCATTTGAATTCGGTGGCGCATAGGAGAGTTTTTCCAAAGTGAGCCCATCTTTTTGGCTTATCGTTTGGTTGCTGTGAGTTCTCGAAGCAATTGGCTTTGAGAGACGCATCTTTGGTGAAATCGACCAAGTCAGCAATCCTGAAAGAAAGAAAAATACAAGTTTTTCTCAAACAACTTGACTTTATCAGCGTTTTACTAATGCTTTTGAAAAGGTAATGTTTTTGGAATACTCAAAAAAAACAAGTAACCCTTTCTTTGCTGCAATTGTCAACACTGTTTGTTGAGTGGTTTGAGTAGTACAACGACTTATATACCAGCCCGCCTTATATACAAGCGCCGTCTTCTATACGAGCGCAGTCTTATATACGAGCGCCGCCTTATATACGACTCCTTCTAAAGATATTTCGCTAAAGATATATACAAGCTTTCGCCGCCGCCGCCTTATCTACGGCCTTTCGCCGCCGCCGCCTTATATACGGTCTTTCACCGTCGCCGCCTTATATACGGCCTTTCACCGTCGCCGCCTTATATACGGCCTTTCACCGTCGCCGCCTTATATACGCCTTTCGCCGCCGCCGCCTTTCTTTTAAAGATCTTCAGCTGTTTAACTGAATTGGTGGCAAATTCCCCTTCAAATGTAAAGATATTCAATTTACTCGATGTGTAAAGAGGATTACTCGTTGTTGCTCGGCCAAAAAACGTCGATTAATCGAGGAAAAATGACTCATCCAGCTTTTACTCGAGTAATCACTTACTCGCGAGGAACACACTCTACTTTTTAAGGCTATTATAGTGCTCCACTACACTAGGAAAAGTCTGTTAATAAAGCTCTTCGAAATCTGTTAATAAAGCTCTTCGAAATCTGTTAATAAAGCTCTTCGAAATCTTCGAAAGCTTATCCTGAAACGTCAGCCTTAGTTTGGATCATTCCCTCAATATTTCTGAGCAATTTGACTGAAATCAGTCACGTAAAACCAGACCTACCTTTGCGAATAAACAGCCATCTCTCCAACACTGCTCGCCAAGTCAGTCAACTTTGTGAAGCTATTGATTAGATACATGAAAACAAAGGAATTCTAAATATTCAGTCAATTTTCAGTAAATTTTCAGCAAATTTTCAGCAAATTTTGTTATCTTTTAAACGCACATTGCTCAGTTTCTCAGCAAATTTGCTGACATCTAGGTCATCATAGGAATGCATCCAAAAAATCGGAATCACTTGAATGGCATACGTTAAAACGCCACCAAAATAGGCGAAAAAGTTTTGGGAAACTGAAAGAGGCTATCGAATTTTGGAGTTCTGATTTTGAATTTACACATGACTGGCGCACGGAATGAGATGAAGAAGGCTTGATTTCTGAGTAGAATGTTGAAGATGCGATTGCATTCTCGGAGTTCAAAGAAGTCGGCCTTGTAGAAAGCGCTTCCTTCAGCGTTGTCCCGAACGGAGACATGTTTATATCTAAAGAAAAATGTTCTAGGTTGAATCGACAATCAACACCTATTTACGATCATTCGGATCGTAAATAGGTGTTGATTGTTATCATTTGCTAAAGTGTGTCCTTTTCTGTCTTGTCTTCTCCCATCGTAGTCTACTTATACACGACTTATATGCCAGCCCGCCTTATATACCAGCCCGCCTTATATACCAGCCCGCCTTATATACCAGCCCGCCTTATACACCAGCTCGCCTTATATACCAGCCCGCCTTATTTATGAACGCCGCCTTATATAAAGAAACATCTTCTGTGCTGAATCTACAATCAGCACCTATTTACGAGTTATCATTTGCTAGAGTGTGTCCTTTTCTGTCTTGTCTCCTCCTACTGTAGTCGCGGTGACATTTCGGCTATATAAGGCGGCCTTTTTCTTTAGTGGGAGCAAAAAACTTGGGACAAAACAAAAAACTCCCAAACTTGGGAGCAAAAATGTAATGGTTCGGTAGTCTAGCAGACTATCCACTAGACCACCGAAGCAGTTATTAAGCGTGTGAGGGCTACTTAAGAAGTCCAAAATTTACATATCTCTTGTTTGCGAAGCTTTCTGTAAAAACTAAAAACGGTCATGAGACCGGGACCGGGCTGGGTCATGGGTATGACCAGGTCATGAGACCAGGACCGGACTGGGTCATGGGTATGACCGGGCCATGAGACCAGGACCGGGCCGGGTCATGGGTAGGACCGGGTCATGAGACCAGGACCGGGCTGGGTCATGGGTATGAGTTTTCGTCTGAATCTAATTTTCGGAGCTCGCCTTTCGGGTCCTCCCTCCAAGATCCCAGGATATTGCTATCAGGGACCGTTCCAAAAATCACTCTATAAGTGACACAGACTCTATAGGAGGGTCTCAAAATGGTCTCTATAAGATGGTCTCAAATCAAAATGCCAGCTTGACCTGGTGCTTTTCCCTTGCCAGCTAACTTTAGGAAGGGATATTTTACACAGAGCACAGTACACTAAAAGTACACCTGCGTAAGCATTTTTAGGTATGATAAGCTTTAGATTACGGTACAATTCAAGTAACTTTCAGTGGTTCTCAGTAAACTGCACCTAAAGCAACCCTCAGCTTTCTCGACTTTCCCGGCCCATTTCGTCAACGGTTGAATGATGACGAGGTTGACGATAGAGCTGATCAAAAAGTATCCATAAATAACCCCAACTCCAACTCCACCAGATCTAAAAAATCTGCATTTTTGCTTTTCTAAATGCATTGAACAAACGTGTGCCACGTTCTCCAAGTGTAATACCCAACAACGAACGGTGCTACAAGAAAATTCGGAAAAACTTTCACCGCCAACAAGTTACAGAATTTTTCCACATCTTGTGAGACTCTTTGATCCCTGAATTTGAATTAAAGTTGTTATTTTTAGCTTTACAAACGGATTATCGATTCCTTCATTATCAACGGTGTTCAATTGAAAGCAGACATTGTTGGAAAAGTATCGATTGTGCAAGATTCGCGTGATGTTTCGACGAAAAGACAAGTAGAGAGCTGATGAAAAGAGACTCACCAAAGCGGTTAACTGAAAAAATTGGATTTTCAACAAGCTTTATCATTAAATTACATAGGATACCCTTAAAACTAGTGCAACTTTGCAATTAAATGTATTCTAACTTTTTTGTTTTGACATCAAGTTAAGTTTATGTGGAAGAAACTGTTAAAAGAATGTATCGGACTCGTCATTTTGACTGGTTGCGTTTAGGAGCTCATAAAATCTACAAAACAGAAGCTTTTTGCAGCTTTTGTGGAGCTTTTTGTAGCCATTTTGTAGAGCTTTTTGGAGCTATTGTAAAGCTTTTTATAGCCATCTCAAAAGCCAAAAACCACCAAAAGCCATGCAGAGCAATGATAGATATTTTTGATTACACAAACAATAGATTGCTTTTATACATTCCAGAAAAATCTTTGAAAGTCGACGCCGTTTCACGGAGAATGGGACGGTCAAAGTTAGACTAGGCGATTGTACGCTCATCATTATGGGGATGGCGTTCTATTAGAGATAGATGCCTACTTTTTTATTAAATGTTTATCTTTTTTGTTTATCTTCTTTGTTTTTCAATACCTGTCCGATTGAATAAAGTTTTTCTTTTCTCAACCTTACCGCACATTGAGCCAAATACCACCAAGTGGCTTTCCAGAAAGTATGCCAAAATCCGTGCTCATCTTTCATCGACAAATACAAGTAGAACTTTCCGATCATCATTCCCGTGTCATAGTTGACTTTTTCATCTGAAAAAATGGTTGAGTAGCTAAAGATCTAAAGATGCTAACGATCTAAAGATGCTAACGATCTAAAGTTGCTAAAGATCTAAAGATGCTAACGATCTAAAGTTGCTAAAGATCTAAAGATGCTAAAGATCTAAAGATGCTAAAGATCTAAAGATCTAAAGTTGCTAAAGATCTAAAGATCTAAAGATGCTAAAGATCTAAAGATGCTAACGATCTAAAGATGCTAACGATCTAAAGTTGCTAAAGATCTAAAGATGCTAACGATCTAAAGTTGCTAAAGATCTAAAGATGCTAACGATCTAAAGTTGCTAAAGATCTAAAGATGCTAAAGATCTAAAGATGCTAAAGATCTAAAGATCTAAAGTTGCTAAAGATCTAAAGATGCTAAAGATCTAAAGATGCTAACGATCTAAAGATGCTAACGATCTAAAGTTGCTAAAGATCTAAAGATGCTAACGATCTAAAGTTGCTAAAGATCTAAAGATGCTAAAGATCTAAAGATGCTAAAGATCTAAAGATCTAAAGTTGCTAAAGATCTAAAGATCTAAAGATGCTAAAGATCTAAAGATGCTAACGATCTAAAGATGCTAACGATCTAAAGTTGCTAAAGATCTAAAGATGCTAAAGATCTAAAGATCTAAAGTTGCTAAAGATCTAAAGATCTAAAGATGCTAAAGATCTAAAGATGCTAAAGAGCTTTACTCACACCCTCCAGCGGCTGCTCCTGTCAATAGAGTAAAAATCAGAGCCCATTCCAGTCCCGGATACAATAGTGGGAATAGTGTCTAGATTTTTAAGTTTTATTTTGTTATTTGCTGTTATTTTACTGCTATTTTGCTTTTATTACCTTCAGTGAACGAAAAAAGTCAAGCCCAAACCAGTAGCTCTTTTCGCGTTTTTCTTGAGGGATCATTCTAAATCAGATTAAAAATGCTTTAAAGTTGAACATCGAAAACTTGACAAGTCGGAAATAGAAATAAAAATTTGTACACTCTTTCCAATTTTGAATCAAAGAAAAGCTTTGCAAACCGTTTCGACCTTCACTTTTTAAGCTAGTTTTCGTTTAGAAGGATATGAAACTTCAAGCAAAAATACAGCCAAATTTAAGGCAAAGATTAATCCCAAAAGTTTCGACATGGTGACGCCCGAAAGGTAGAAAAGTACCGTGGCACCATCTCAATTTACGGATTAGGAAACCCTTTATACCCGAGATGTTTGTCAGATACCGGAGGGGTTTACCAGAGCCAGAAGGGAAGCCCTTTATACCGAGGAGTTTGCCAGAAGGCAAGCGATTACGTGGCTACACAAAGAACATCTCGCCAGTCTTTACATAGAGATTTTTCTTTTGAATTGTAGATGATACAAAAAAGATATTCAGCTGTAAATTTGGGTCTGCGGATTTTCGGGATCAGGGAATCGATTGGAGCTAGAGGAGCTATTGATTTTATTGGAATTTGGGTTAATTGGTCTAAACTTTTAGAGGAACTCGAAAACTTATTAGCATTGAGAGAAGATTCGCAGCTTTCAAAAGATATATAATCAGCACATTCATTTATCCTTAGAAATTTACCATATTGTAAATTAGGTATCATTGGAAATTTAAAATACGATTTTTTTACAATTCTGTAAAAGATTGGCTATCTTTTGGCTATAAACACTTATAAAAAATACCGACTGGGGCTACCAGTGGTGAATTTATCTCATACACGAAATATATCAATCACAATACAACGACACACACAATACTAGGCTATATCTTAACTTAACCCACGTCATGACAGACGGCTCCCTAACCCTAAGCTCAATGGGGAACTAAATAGCTTTTTTGGTGGTGAAGGGAAGATGACGATGAAGGAGTATGAAAACTTATGAAATAAAAACAATCAGGAAGCTTTTAGAGGGATTTAAAAAAGGACAAAACTTTCGCCGTACCCTGTACTTTATTCAGGGAATGAAATAAAGTGCGCAAAGATTAATACACATAAATTCTTACACATACACACGGAAAGGACCGATAGAAAGCAACGCGATAGAGAAAGTTTAAAAAATACTGAACCAATCGCCAAAGGAACTTATAAAGGAACTTATAAAGGAACTTATAAAGAAGCTTATAAAGAATCTTATAAAGGAACTTATAAAGAAGCTTATAAAGAAAGTGGCGAAGCAATGAAATGCTCGTTCTTCGAGCGCACTCTGATCAGACCATTTTTGATAAAATTTGTATAGTGTTTGTTCTAAAAAAAGCTTAACTTGAGAATAAGACGCAAAAAACAAAAAGATAAATTTTAGCATTTATCAAAATTGATAAGAAAATGATCGTTTGATGGATTTCAAACAAAAACGAACAAAAAAAATGATAAAGTGGCTATATTTTCGTTTTTTTTTCTCTGACCACTCAAGAGGAAGATCTTTACGAAAAATGAAACACAAAGGATTTATAAATGTAAATTTATTTAAATTATTTTATTTAAATAGATATTAAATAGAAATTTGAAAAGAAAACAATGAAATGAATGAAATAAATGAAATAAATGAAATAAATAAATCATTCTCTGAAATGTCTACGATTTCTTATCAAATTAAAGGGGTTTGTAAAAAAAAATGAAAGCCCTCAAGTGTGAAAAGCCGTTTTTTTTTGGCTCGACTTTGAACTTTTTCTTTTTCTTTGATCACCCGTTAATTGCAAGGTTTTCAATTGTTTATTCAATTGCTTATTCAATAAAAGTGGGGATTTGGTTTAGTAACGATTTTTAAATAATAGGTTGATGCAAGGGCCCTCATGGTGTATTGGTTAAGTTCTCACTTCCAAACTGAGGGTGTGGGGTTCGGCCCCCCCTAGGGTTCTCTTCCCTAGCCCGTGCGCCCAGACTAGAGGTCTCTTCTCTAGAGCTGACTAGAGATCCCTTCTCTAGCGGAGTTCACTCTTCCACTGGGTTGGCCCATTCATGGCTTGAGGTTATTAAAGCAAGAAGCCTATCTTCTATCTATCTTCTTTTCTCCCCGCCTCCACATCGCCGAGTAAAATATCTCATCTTTCTCTATGTATTTATGTGTAGATTTGTGTATTTTCTGACTGATTACGCTTTATTTCATGTCCTGAATAAAGTATGAATATATATATAAGTCTTTTCGTTTTTTTCGTACTTCTGTTAAAAAGTAACAAATTCACCAATTAATCTATAGTTTGCTCTATAAAAAAAGTGTTTTTTTGTTCAATTTGCATCTTTTTAAATCAATTTCGGTTCACTTTCAAGCAAATCCGAGAGTGAAAAACGCCTTTTTCGTAAAAATCTATAAAAAACTCTACGGAAAAATTGGCTGAATGAATTTCTCTGAAATTTTGGCGAAATATCAAACTTTTTTTTCTCTATCTTTTATCTATTGACACGAAGATAGGTTTTCTTTAGCTAAGGTGTCTAAACCGCATCATCGAGTTAGCCCTTTTTGACTACCCGACTTCATACTCTCAAGAAAATCCAGGCATAAAATATTTTTAAACCCGTTTTAATGTTATTTTGCAGAAAAATAATTGGTTTTTCTAATGAAATCAACCGTAGGTGCATTGGTGCATTTGTTGGCTTGAAACGGCAGACGAAAAGGAACAAAAACACTTATGCATCAACCTAATAGATTGTTATTGGGTTGGGGAGAATGAGTCGGCGCCGAAATTTAAAGAAACTTTTTGCACCCATAAAACCTTCTTTAAATACACGTTTTGTTTCATCAAAATGGTCCACTATTTCTTTACAAAATGGCTTTTGAGAGATTCCACAAAGCTTTTCTTTTTTGGAATTTTATGGATTCCCAAACACAGCTAATCAAAATGACAAAAAGTCCGACTCATTGCTTGAACAGTTTCTTCCACATAAACCTCCTTTGATGTTTATATAAAAAAGATAGAGCACACTCAATTACATAAGTTACCAAATTTTCAGGAAGATCCCTCCAACCGTTTACTCTAGATGACAGTTTATCGATTTTGTGAAAAAAATGATCCTTTGTTGAGTTGAGGCGCTGTTTGAGTTCTTTTTTAAATATTATTTTGTAGAGAATTAGTTACCCTTCTACGGGTATCAAACGCATATCATTTGACAAAGTCTGCTATAAGTTTTAGAAATTTCTTTGATTTTCGGCGCCGACTCATTCTCCCCAACCCAATATATGACAAAATGTTGTATTTTAATTTTATAAGAAGGAGAAGTTTAACGCAAGAGCGTTTACAGGGAACAATTTTGGGGACGCAAAACGTAAAAATTCGAAAAAGTGTAAAAATAAAGTAAATATCCAAGAGTACAAATACACAAAAGAAAACTAAGCTTTCCAGATCAAAAAATAGAAAATTTTAATAGGTTGATGCATAAGTGTTTTTGTTCCTTTTCGTCTGCCGTTTCAAGCCAACAAATGCACCAATGCACCTACGGTTGATTTCATTAGAAAAACCAATTATTTTTCTGCAAAATAACATTAAAAGGGGTTTAAAAATACTTTATGCCTGGATTTTCTTGAGAGTATGAAGTCGGGTAGTCAAAAAGGGCTAACTCGATGATGCGGTTTAGACACCTTAGCTAAAGAAAACCTATCTTCGTGTCAATAGATAAAAGATAGAGAAAAAAAGTTTGATATTTCGCCAAAATTTCAGAGAAATTCATTCAGCCAATTTTTCCGTAGAGTTTTTTATAGATTTTTACGAAAAAGGCGTTTTTCACTCTCGAATTTGCTTGAAAGTGAACCGAAATTGATTTAAAAAGATGCAAATTGAACAAAAAAACACTTTTTTTTATAGAGCAAACTATAGATTAATTGGTGAATTTGTTACTTTTTAACAGAAGTACGAAAAAAACGAAAAGACTTATGCATCAACCTAATATATCCGAAATTTCATTTGCATCATCTTAGTAGATTTATTTAGATTATCTAGATTTATTTAAACGTGTTTTCTAATTGAAATCTAATTGAAAACAGTGTGAATTAAAATTGTAAAGCAGAAAACTAAAACAAAGTTGCTTAGAGGTTGGGAAAAAGTAATTTGTTTGGAAAAAGTGATTTTCAAAAGTGAAAAGTGATTTTCATAAGCGTAAATTTGACGCAAATGATACACGGCGCAAGAATTTTTGGCGCAAATGAAATTGGCGCAAAAATTGGCGCGCTTTTGCTAGCACCTCAAAAATTTAGCACAAAAACATGAACGAAAAACTTTTGGCTGATTTGCAAGACTTCTAATAAGGAAAGCTTATCAAAATTGAAATCCAGCAACTCCACAAAATATTGAAATCATTGGTAAAGTTTGAATTCAAAGAGATATTTCAAAAACTACAACTATCTGAGAGCACTGATCACGTTGTTGTCACGTTGATGGCTTAGACTTAACTGTAAAGTAAATTTCTCGGGTCAAAGAAAGTGATCGCTCTTTGTGTGCTCTTTGAAGCTCTTTGTGTGCTCTTTGTATGATCTTTGAAGCTGTTTGAAGCTGTTTGAAGCTGTTTGAAGCTGTTTGAAGCTCTTTGAAGCTCTTTGAAGCTCTTTGAAGCTCTTTGAAGCTGTTTGAAGCTCTTTAAAGCTGTTTGAAGCTGTTTGAATCTCTTTGAAGCTCTTTGAAGCTCTTTGAAGCTCTTTAAAGCTGTTTGAATCTCTTTGAAGCTCTTTGAAGCTCTTTGAAGCTCTTTGAAGCTCTTTGAAGCTCTTTGAAGCTCTTTGAAGCTCTTTAAAGCTAAAACAACTTTCAGAAAAAGCAAAAACAGTTTTGAACGGTGAACGAAGTTTTGAACGGTGAGCAATCTCTCCTTTTTGTCAAGTGCGTCGCAAAAATTTTTGATCAATTTCCTCAAAACAATCTGTTTTTCTCTTTCATTTGCAAAAGACGGCAAAACAAATGATTATTTCTATTTTGATTCTTCATTTCTCTCTTTATTTCTT